GAGTTTTTGCCGGGCGGCCGGCGGCCGGCAGGCAGGGAGGCAGGGAGGCCGCCCACCGCCCACACGTGTATAAAGATCCCCCGAGCGCAGATAAGCCCCGGCCGCGCCGCTTGCATGTCCCGAGCCGCGCGCCGTTTTTGCCGCGTTTGAAGCGGCCGCGGCAAAAACGGCGCAGTTGCAGTGTGTCGGGTCAAGTGGGCGGCGCGCGGCCGCCGACGGTTTCCCAGCGTTGGCGGCATATACCGGCACCGGGTCAGGTCACTAGCATCGCCACTGGGCGGCGGCGGCGGTGGCAGCAGCGCCGCGCCGGCCGCTGCAAGGCGACGGCCGCTCGGCGGCGTCAGCCGGGCTGGGGCGATGCTAATTTGGCGTAATCGCCGCGGCCGGCCGCGGGGGGCCGCGGGCTGCCTGACGGATGGTGACCGGCCAGCCCTTTACATCGACACTTCCCCGAGACTCATCGTTACAGCGGTGATTACCCAAACGACGGAACGATGGCCCGCCGGTAACGACGCGCCGCCATTTAGCGGGCAGCCATTAGCGGGGCCGGCGGCCACCCCGTCCGCCGTCAGCCCCGCTCGCTCCACCTGATGGATCGCCGGCGCGCGGTCAGCCGGGTCGCAGTCCGGCCGCGGCGCGGTCGAGCACTGCACGAGCTCCACCCCCACCCCCGCCCCAACCGCTCCCCTCCCCGGCCCGAGACGCGGCGGCGGACGACGATGATCGGCTCTTCTGTCTTCGGCCGGCGGAGGGAGGGGAGCGGCATGCCCACCCCCAATCCTGTCACCGAGACGGCACGCGAGAGAGGCGCACTAACACGCCGCTATGCCGCACTGCGCCGGGACCGACGGGAGCGAGGCGGCGTCGACGAGTCCGACATCGTGAGCGGGTTAGCGACGACATGCCGTGGTCGTCTCCCGCGCGGCGCCAGCCTCTCTCCTCTCACTGCCAGGCGGCCGACGTGCCGGGCCGGTCGCACGTGCTGTCGCCCCGCCACAGGCCGCTCTCCCAGTCTGGGAGTGTAGCGGCCGGGGAGCGGAGAGGAGAAGGGCACGGTCGGCCGCTGCGGTCGTGTTCGGGTCGGGTCGTGAGCGGCTCTCGCCGTGATCGATGCGGCGGCCCGCCGCTGAGATCGTATCAGCCCGCTGCGGCCGGCCGTCGGGCGAGCTGCCAGTGAAACGCAGTCAGAAGCGATCGAGATCAATCGATTAGCGAGAAACAAAAGGCTCAAAATTGGGAGGCCGATCCGAAACTGCGCCCGTGCCCCCGTGGCTGGCTGCGATGGGTCGTAAATCTGGCTCGTGCGCGTCGCTTTGCCTGCCGAGGGGGACCTACCGCCGCCACCCGTCCCCGAGATCCGGTCGGCACGAGGCCGGCGCCGAATCGGCGATCATCACCGAGTCCGCCTCCGAGCCGGACCGAGCCGAGAGTTCCGCAGTGGCGCTGCGACCGCGGCGGTGGTCGGACTGGCGGCACCGGGCCGTACGTGCGCCCACTCCTTTCCCTCGGCAGCGAACAGATGAACATGCCGCCCAAGGCCACGCCGGTCGTAGCGGCGCGGGCGGGCCGTGTGGGAGCAGCGGCCGGCGCCAGCTGGGGGAGGGGCGGGCGTCGGGGGCGCCGCCGCCGACCCCGTCGGTCCAGAGGTCACCGGAGCAGCGGCGAGGCCGGCCGCTCCGGCCGCTGATGGTGCCGATAGCCCTGCAGCCGCGGCGGTGGCGGCGGTGGCGGCGGCTGCAGCCGGCCCGCGTCGACACCGGAGCGCCGGCCGAACAGCCCACGCCGCTGACGCGGACCCGGGCGCCCGGCGACGGCCTCCGTGGCCGAACGGCCCCCCAGCACGGCAGCCCAGTAACCGTAGCCGCGCCCTAACGACCTAGCCCGTCCGCCGGACGCCAGGCGTTTTTGCGCCGCCGCCGGACGCCGCGCAGCAATCACACACCAGCGCCGAATGAGCGGCGGCCCGCGCTTCATTTGCAGATGCTCGGTTTCGGCGTCGTGTCGTGACGTGGCGGAGACCCGCCTGCAGTTACAGCGCTGGCGCGCACGGCTCGGTACCAAACAGGAAAACAGCGCCACCCCGGCGTCCCGTCGCAGCGACCCTTCCACTCACAAGTGTGTTCGCGCGGCTGGCCGTCCGAGCAAGAGCGTCTTCTCGCTGCACGTACACCTATCGATGACAGCTGTTCAAAGCTAACGTGATCCTTCGCCTGCTTTTGCGTCGTGGTTTGGGGCTTACTCGTCGCCGTGTGTTGCGGCGTCGTGCCGGCCGCCGCGCCGCGCCTGTGAGCGGCGGTGGCGGCGGCGGTGTGGGAGCCGGCGGGCGCCGGACCGCGGCACACGCCGCTGAGGCGGGACACGCCACCCTCCAAGAACCGCTCAATGGGCCGAGCCTGATCTCAGTCGTCAGGAATGCCGGCACCCACACGCGCCGGCCGCACGGGCCATCAGATAGCGCGAGCCGCCCTGATCCGGTGAGCCGCCGCCAGTGAGCCGGTCTGCCGTCCCAGTGCCACCGTCTCGGCCGCCACCGGTCGGCTCAGTGCCGACCGCACACCTGCGCCGCCCCACCGCCGACCAGCGCCGGCGCCCGGCGCGTGACCTTCTCCAACTCTCCGGCTAATTACCGGCTGCAACCGGCGGTGTTCGCCGAGAGGCATCACGACCGCACTCGGCTGAGCGGTCCGCGGACAATGACGACCAGCTCAGCCAGGCAGACAAACGGCGGACTCAGCCGGGCAGACAGACGGTGGACTCAGCCGGGCAGACAGACGGTGAACTCAGCCAGGCAGGCAGACGGTGGACTCAGCCGGACAGGCAGACGGTGGACTCAGCCGGACAGGCAGACGGTGGACTCAGCCGGACAGGCAGACGGTGGACTCAGCCGGACAGGCAGACGGCGGACTCAGCCGGACAGGCAGACGGCGGACTCAGCCAGGCAGGCAGACGGTGGACTCAGCCAGGCAGACAGACGGTGAACTCAGCCAGGCAGGCAGACGGTGAACTCGGCCAGGCAGGCAGACGGTGGACTCAGCCGGACAGGCAGACGGCGGACTCAGCCGGGCAGACAGGCGGCGGACTCAGCCGGGCAGACAGACGGTGAACTCAGCCAGGCAGGCAGACGGTGAACTCGGCCAGGCAGGCAGACGGCGGACTCAGCCAGGCAGGCAGACGGTGAACTCGGCCAGGCAGGCAGACGGTGGACTCAGCCGGGCAGACAGACGGCGGACTCAGCCGGGCAGACAGACGGTGAACTCAGCCAGGCAGGCAGACGGCGGACTCAGCCAGGCAGGCAGACGGTGGACTCAGCCGGGCAGGCAGACGGCGGACTCAGCCGGGCAGACAGACGGTGGACTCAGCCAGGCAGGCAGACGGTGGACTTAGCCGGACAGACAGACGGCGGGCTCGCCAGGCAGACTCAGCCGGATAGACGGATGGCGGACTCCGCCGGACAAACAGACGGCGGACTCAGCCGGGGAGGAGGTGGCAGGTGCCGCTAAAGGACGCACGTGGACGGAGCAGAGGTGGGGTCAGGATATTAGGTCGGGTTGGGTTGCGTCGAATCGGATCGGGTTTGGTCGGGTCGGGTCGGGTCGGCCCCAGTGTCTGGCATGCTGGTTTTGCACAGTTTAGCAATCAGAGGCATGCGTGTTGGCAAACATGCGCTAAACGGGCTCGCCGATTTGAAAGAAGTCCAATACTGGAAGGGCTCTCCGACTTGAGGGTGCGTGCCATGCCCTGCCTCACGAGTGCGTATGTTAGAATGCGACTATGGCGGCCACTTCGGATTGCCCGGTGGGCAGCTGACAAGCGCCTTTGGGGAGCGGCGGCTACACAGAATCACATTAACCTGCATCATTAAACGCAAACCAAATGGTACAGGCGTACGGGCAGCGGCGTCATGATCCACACTTGCTCCATATTGGCAGCGGTAGGTGGACCATGTTGCACGGGCGAGACCGCTAAAACTCCTTTCAGCACGGAAGTCGGCATGCCATACATGGATTTATAGAGATTTTCAGGGTCAGCCCGGCTCGTCACGCGGAATCTCCTCCAAGGTCGCCGTCGCTCTCAGTAAGCAAGACAACACGGCGGCAGCAGCGACGCCGCCACCTTGAAACCCAGTCGGCGTCTCAGTGCACGGTCAGTGCTGACGGCGCCGGCCGAACAGTCGTCGGCCGCCGGCGGCTCGCAGCTGGCCACGACACGGGCCGACGCCCGACTGGCGTCCGGCAAGGCGGTCTCGTACGGCAAGACTGGCCGCAGCGACGGGCCTCGTGTCTCTGAGCCTCGTGTCCCTGAGCCTCGTGTCCCTGAGCCTCGTGTCTCTGAGCCTCGTGTCTCTGAGCCTTGTGTCCCTGAGCCTCGTGTCCCTGAGCCTCGTGTCTCTGAGCCTCGTGTCTCTGAGCCTTGTGTCTCTGAGCCCCGTGTCTCTGAGCCTCGTGTCTCTGAGCCTCGTGTCTCTGAGCCTCGTGTCCCTGAGCCTCGTGTCTCTGAGCCTCGTGTCCCTGAGCCTCGTGTCCCTGAGCCTCGTGTCTCTGAGCCTCGTGTCTCTGAGCCTCGTGTCCCTGAGCCTCGTGTCTCTGAGCCTCGTGTCCCTGAGCCTCGTGTCTCTGAGCCTCGTGTCCCTGAGCCTCGTGTCTCTGAGCCTCGTGTCTCTGAGTCTTGCGTCTCTGAGTCTCGTGTCTCTGCGTCTGGTCAGTTGGCCGGTCAGTCAGGCCTCGCTTCGTCCCGCCCCACGGCCCCGCACCATCATCACCGACGATGGCAATGGCGTGTCCTCTTACCCCCACCCTCATCCCATTTCTTAACGCCACCCTGATCTTCACCACGCCTCTCGCTGCCATCCCGCCATCTAGCCTGCCTCCATCGTCGCTCTACCCTCACCCGTACCACCGTCTCGGCCCGTTCCCCTCTCCCGCTACGCTCCGAGCGCTGACGCCGTGCCCCGTCCTGCCTGCCAAACCAGCGCCGCCCTCGCTCCCGGGCTGCGCACCCACCTGTGGTGTAAAGCACGATGGCCTTCATGCAGCTGTACTCTGCCGAGTCGCAGCGGAGCTGCTTCAGTCGCTCGCACTCCTCCTGGAACATGCGGATGACGTCCATGAAGGCCATGACGCGCTCGGCGGCCATCGGCGACGGGTGGAGGCCGGCGGCGGCCAGCAGCGAGGCCGCGTGCAGCGGCATGTTGCACTGGCTGGCGTTCAGCACGAACAGTTCGCTCCAGACGAAGCGCAGCAGCGCCACCTGGTCCTGCAGCTGCAGCTCCGGGAAGAACGGGATGGAACGCGCCCACTGCACGGCGCTGAACAGGATGCGTGCCGCCAGCTCGCAGATGGTCTCGATCACCATGGTGCCGCCCGGCTGCAGGCACTGGTTGTAGTGCGACGGCGGGTAGGGCTCGGCGCGCAGCAGCAGCGAGATGTAGGACGAGTAGCCGGAGAGGTAGCCGTGGCCGTTGAGCGCGTCGCCGTTGGTGAAGAATTGGCCCGGGACAATGCCGTGCTGCGGCACAGGTATCCGGCCGCGCTGCACCGCTGGAACAGGGACACAGGCCCAGGTCAGGCGCCGCCTCCCGCCGGCCGCCCGCCACCGGTGAACGGAGCCCGCCAGCGGACGCTGTCTGAGAGTTGTCATATACGGCAGGCTTAAGGCAACCTAACGGCCCGCCAAGTCAACACGACAACAAGGGTCCACATGAATACGAACGATAGAAAGCTTCGGGTGCACTGGCAGGAAGCGCGCTCACTAGAAGAACAACGTGCGAAACCATGCTACGTACGAATAAAAGTCGATCCGTTGCGATAGACGGGCGTACAGTCGAGCTACGGCAGGCATGAAGCCCCAGCCGAGCACTCGGCTAGACGCGGCGCACGACTGTACAATCCGACATGCCGCGCGCGCAGAGCTGCACACTCGCAGAGGGTGTGCCCGTAGACAGCACGCACTGCACACAGGACACGAACACAGACACCCGCCGCACACCGGCCAAACAGGCCAGGCCCACGATCGGCCCACATGGAGCGCTCTGATCCCAGCAGACGTCCATCGCCCGGACGGCCGTGGCGTAAGGCCGTGAGTCGTACAGATCAGTACAGTCGTATCGTACAGAGGACAGTGCCCCCCTGCGGGCCCCGGGCGGCCGGCCAGCCAGCCATGTCAGCACGTCTGCTGGCAAGGAAACTCCTGTGTGTCACACGAGACTGATCAACAATCAACAGCCCAGCCGAAGCGGCGACGACTACCCCGCCGGCTCGCCTGGTGCTTAGCGCCACTCGATACCACAGCTCACTGTTGTGTCTCGCTCTGCCTGACCAAGCGTCTTGCTGTCCGGTCACTGATCTGGCCGGCCTTCTTTCAGCAGGACCCGTCCGGTCAATGACCCCGCCGGTGCGTGCTCACGAGGGACTCGTCAGTGTTGATACAAGCAGTGCGCTCTCGATCCAACGCCCGCCGAAGCTCGGACGTGGACACGAGCAATGCCGCGGGCGGTGTCAAACAGCAGCGCTTGCACGATAACCTGCGCGCTCTGAGGTCACACCCCGGGCGGGGCGGGCGACTCGGGCCGAGCCTGCCGAGCCGCGGCGCCGTCAGACGGCCTGGTGGCCTGACGATCCGCACCCGTCCCCCGACGCTCGGCCGTTCCTCTCGGCCGCTCGCGGGACCGGACCCCGGCCGGAATGTGTGTAATTCAGCCGTCGGACGCGGCGGCGGCGGCGGCGGCGGCGGCGGCGGCGGCGGCGCCCGGGGGCGGAGCTGGCGCCGTCCTGCGCGGCAGGCCGGCCCGCCCCCGTCCTCCGGCCGCGGCCGCCCGCTGTCCGCGCCGACAGGTCCCGTACCGGCGGCCGGCGCCGGTCCGCCGCCGGCCGCCTCAGCACGCCACCTCACGAGAACAGCACCACCCCGGCCCAGACTGGCACGGCCATCCGTCAGACGCAAGCCGCGCAGATGCGGTCATAAGAGCAGCGACGGCCGCTCACGAGTTATCTGAGAGGCGAGGGGCCACCGTGCACGTGAGGTCGGCACAGGAACGAGGGGCAGCCCTCCGAGTTACGCGGGGACGTTTGCTCCGACGAGACTACAATTGGAAAGTGGAATGAAGGTCATTCCAAGTAAGACTGTCAAACCAGAGGTGTCATGCCAATGGGCTTATACCAGATGCCGGCAAAAACCGGTTATCACTAAAGCGACTTTATGGGCCAGTATCACAGAAAGGATGTTTACACCAGAGCACGTTTGCAGTGAAAAGAAACCACTAAAGATGTGCTATTTCATACAGCTTGTGATGGAATGTTGAGTGGTCGGGCCGTGCCAGTCACAGACGCAAACCACCAACAGAAGCAGGAGTGGCCGCTGATCAGCGCCACAGCCGACCAGAGCAGGCACGGCGCGGCCACTGTAGCCGAGCTCGGCGCCCCGGCCCGGACGCCTGGCGCTCGGATACCGGCCGCCCCCTCCCTCTCCCTGCTTCTTGTCTGTCCAGGCCGCGGCGCCATCAGCCCTGATGGCTCGCTGTTTGGCTCGCCGCGTCCGGCCCGGCCCGGCGGCCGACCGAGAGCAGGCCGGCGGGCACGGCGGGGCGCAGCACGAACGCTGGCTGGGCCCGCGTCCGTCACCCGCCGGCAGACGCTGCCGATGCGCCGGGGATGCGCCGGGGGTGCGCCGGGATGCGCCGCAGATGCGCCCGGATGCGCCGGGATGCGGTGGCGGTCCATTCGAGTGTCCACTGCGTAGCAGACGCTCGGCGACCGCCGCCGCCCGCGCCGCTCGCTCAGCCACGATTCGTATTACGCCAACGGCGCACGCCCAGCTCAGCAAAAACGATAACCCCTGCACCTGTCCGGCCGGCCACGTGAGAGCGCTGCGCTTGCCGGGCCGGTGCCGCCGCTGACGGTCTCGTGTCGGACCGGTGTCCGGCCGCCGCCGGCACCCGTGTCGGTGACCGGACCGGCTCCGATGGCCACCGCTAACCGAATTACGGCCTGGCCGGCGGCGGACGGCTCCGCGCCGGCCCGCTCCGCTTGCCGCCGCCGATAGTTTCGAATTGGACGACGGCCACTGAGGCGCGGTGGGTTTACGCGCCTCTGTCTCCTGCCGCTGAAGCAGCGTCAACGCAGGGCCGGAGCCTCAGAGAGAGCTGGCTAGCGGTCTCGCCGTCGCCGCCGCCGGCCGCACGATTAAGATCGGCACGATTCAGATGGGCCGACTGCTTCATGGAAGCAATCGCCGGGGACGGGTTTAAACAAAGAGGCGGATCGACAGGAATGGGTGCCGAGCGAACCAAGACAAGCAACAGCAGACGGGCAGGCGGCGGTCCAGCGTCCAGCACGGCTTCGTCCTGCCGTGGGGCGCGGCAGGCGGCGTCGGCAGGCGGCCCGCAGGGCGGGGCCGACGCCCGGCCGAGCGTTGACCCGCGGCACCTGTCGGCCGCGCGGCCGGCGACGACCCGCGGCCATATGTCACCGGCGCCGGCCGGCCATATGCCGCCCATTATCCGGCGCCGCCGCCGCCGCCGCCGCCGGCGCTCCAGGCGCGCACTCGATTAACATTCACAAGTGGGCCGGCTCATCCGGGCCCGGCCGGGCCGGCGCGCCGGCGCGCCGGCCCGGCCGAGACAGGTGCCGACCTGCGTCGCCCTCGCCCCGTCGGCTCCATACGGCCGTCGACGACCGCGCCACCGGGGCAGACCGGCGCCCGGCCCATCCTGCTCATCGGGCATCGGCTCCGAACGAATTCCTTATCACTTTCACTCGTGTCGGCTTCCCGCTCGCGCCCGGCCGCAATTAAGCCCGGGTTAATAGGCGCTCGGAGGCTGGTGGCCGCGAGCGGCCGCCTACGACCGGCACTGCACCGGCTCGATAGCATCGCCGTCCTTACCGGCCAACAGCCGTCCCATTGTGCCATTCTAGCGTGCCACAATTGCACTCGTTTGGCGCGGCGATGGGCATGAGACGGCTCGGTCGGGCCGGCGCGCGGCGGACGCGTCCCGGCCCGGCCGGCCGGCGGAGAAAAGGAATGCAGGGGCGCGCCGCCACCCGCGCGGTGCCCTCGGTCACGGCCTGTGCGCGAAGGAACAGTGGTGGAGTGGAGGGAACACCCAACGACGTTCGAGGCGCGACATGCTGGCAACTCACTTTGCGCTGGTTGCCCATGCGATAAACGCGGCAGCCTGCGTTGACAAGCGCTGCATTCCAGCGCCGTGTCGCGGTGCACAAGGCTGCCGACGCACACACCTGCCCTAAGGTCGAGAGGGCGCGTCCATCCGGCGTTAGGAAGCGATGCGGCCGTACCCGATCGGAGTTAGACAAGATAAAGCCGCGATAAGCAAGATAATCCAATACGTAAGCCGGCGATATCGCAATTAGCCGATAGATTTCGTGCGCCCGGTCCATTGAGGCAGCGCCGGTAGCATGAGCGGCCCGCGGAGCCGACCACGGGTGGGGCGGGGGCGGGGGCGGGGGCCGCTGACCCGGCCAGGACAGGGCCCGCCACGAACAGAGTAGCGGAGCATCGGAGAGAGAGCGGCCGGGCCGGGCCGCCAGTCCGCCATGAGAACCCCACCGAATTAATGAATGTTTGGCTTGTGCCCGCGGGCGGGCGGCATCGGTTCCCACGGAGCGGCAGAAGGTTACGCCACTTTACGGCCGCTGGACGCCGGGCTAATGGGCGTTATTACCGGACCAATTTGGAAATATTCAGCGTTTGCAGGAACTATGGCCCGTTCTCATGTTCAAGTGCACTACGTGTGGCTTACGGAATTATAGACTAATCTTCCAGGAATAACGCCGCCTCGGAGCAGCTCACACAGCTGTTGAGGAAGCCGTCGCTGTCCGTCGGCGTTCCCGGTGAATGAGGTCGATGCGTTTTTAATGCCCTTGGCTCGGAACTGGGCTACGTGTCGTCGTCGCCGCCGGCCATTGGCCCGCGCTCAGGCAACCTCGCGACGTATCTAGGCAGGCCGGAGCCCGTCCCACCCATCGGTCGGCAGAGAGACGGGGAGACAGCCGGTGGGTGGGGCGGGCCGGAGCCCTGCTCGTCCCACCAACCGGTCGGCAGAGAGACGGGGAGACAGCCGGTGGCTGGGGCGGGCCGGAGCCCTGCCCGTCCCACCCATCGGTCGGCAGAGAGATGGCGAGACAGCCGGTGGGTGGGGCGGGCCGGAGCCCTGCCCGTCCCACCCACTGGTCGGCAGTGAGACGGGGGGACAGCCGAGGGTCGACCGTCACGTTAGACGGACTGACGGACAGTCTGCCGGCGCGCGCGGCGCACGCGTGGCGGCCAGGGGCAGGCGGGTGCGGCGCAGCCAGGCGGACAGGGGCAGGCGGGCGCGGCGCAGCCAGGCGGCGGGCCGGCAACACGCCTTACACGACGCTAGCCGTCTGCCGACCCGCCTGCCAGACATGGGACCAGTCTGGCCGGCCGCCTCACCACAACCCTCCGCCGGCAGCCAGCTGAATCACGCCATTTGTTGATTCATGGTGGAGCTGATTCGACTCTGCCGGCTAGAACCGCCGCTGTATGAACCGTAGTAGAAATATTACGAACAGGAAATGGAACCACTGGATTATCATGGCTCTCTCGGCCCGAAATATATATCACGCAAGAGTTCAGGTATCCCATAGCACTGGCATCTTCTAAACTGATATCACCGAGCTGGCACCGTCGGAATCAGAGTTGGCACCATCCGAATCAGAGTTGGCACTGACGAAAACCATTCCAAAAAACAATCACAAATAGCTTAGTCTGAAACAGAAACACGTAATTTCAGCTCAAGAGTCCGTCGGACCCAGCCTTGGTGCTTTGGTTCGGAGTCGGAGTCGACTTGGCAGAAACGGAATCGGGCAAAAGCTTGTTTGGAGGCGCCCAGCCTGTTGAGTAGGCGACTAATTGGTTACCCTTATCGCAAAAGGCTCCTCTGTGGTCCCAAGCGGACTTCATTTAGGATGTAGCGTCTGCGATCAAGTCTGCACTCATGTCCTCAATGACCATGTCTCAGCTGGTCGTGGGGGCACTAACAATGCTACGTTCGCGTTTGCATTTGCCTTTGATTGTTTCTTGCAACGCGTCAGAGCGTTTCAAACGAATCTATTGATTACTGATGTTTACCGCCAACCCAAACACTCGCATGAAAATGGCCCACGCCTGGCCCGGCCCAGCCTGGCCGGCGTGATTGCACCGGCCGGGCGGCACATGTCGTGCCGTCGAGTGGGCTGTCCCCAGCGTCGGAGCCCGGCGCTGTACACCTGGTACCGGGCGATCCACCACGACCTGGTACCATACATCACTGGTACCGGCCGTCCACCACGACCTAGTACCATACATCGCTGGTACCGGCTATCCACCACGACCTGGTACCATACATCACTGGTGCCGGCTTTCCACCACGACCTGGTACCATACATCACTGGTACCGGCTATCCACCACGACCTGGTGCCATACATCACTGGTGCCGGCTATCCACCACGATCCGTCTGGTCATACACGCACTGAACTGCACGTTCGTAACGCCGTGTATTTGTTTTCAACTTTTCACGCTTCCCACCTCCGCATCAGCAGGCGCCACGCCCGCGCAGCGACGAGCCACCAGGCTCATAAGCTTCTTGAGTGCACTCAGCTCAATCTGTTTAAGATAGAAGAGACGATTGGCGGATGGAAAAATTCGAATGACGTTTGATTTTAATGTTAATTTTCTCGCCCATCGGGCGTCAGTATATCATACGCCCCCTCCGACGCTGCACAGTTCAGCCAACATTATCAACAGTGAGTCGATTCGTATTCCAGCCGGCCTCCTGACCTCCTGCGCGTCCCGGCGCTCTGCAGTCGGTTCGCCGCGCGCCCCGGCCGCTCTCCCCGGCGCGCCTGCCTCTCCTCGGGGAGTGGCCCACTGACGGCCGCCGGGCCGGCCACGCGGCCGTCCCGTCGGCGACGACGGGCGGCCCGACACCCCGCGCCGGCCCCGCAAAAACGCCCGCGACGCGTCGTCGGAGACGGCCGCCTTTGTAGCGGCCGACCGTGCCGACGGCGCGGCGAACGCCCCTGAACGCGTCACTTGTGCACCCACGTATTTTATTGAACGGATGGGGAAGTGCCCCACATGCCGGGCGTCGGCCAACCGCGCCACCTCCGAGACAGATGGCCGCCCGCGGCGACACCGCGCGACACAAATAAACGCCCCCCGCGGCGGGCCCCGGCGGCCCCCACCGGGCGGGTCGCCTCGCTCGCCGGCGACAGGAGCCAGCTGCCCCTTTTGACGCGTCGCATGCTGCGCCGCTGGCGCCGCCGGCACTGCGGCCGACCCGCGCCGCCACTCGCCGAGCTGACCGACCGGGCGTGGAGCGCCGCCGTCGGCCGCCCGAGGTCGCCGACTCCTCTCGGTCGGACTGCCCCGCTCAGACGCCAGCGCGCTAAGACGTGGACGTTCGACGTCTCTGGGAAACGAATCGGTCGCGTTCCGAACGACACCGGCAGCGCCGGCTCCGGTTACCTCATTTGTAGCGGCGCTGGTCGGCCCGCCTGACAAGATAATATTTTTCATAGCGCCGCCGGTTAAATATGACAACAGGTATTCGGCTCCATTAATATCTGCCGCGCGCGATGGTCGTTTCGCCAAGCGGCCCGGTGCCGGCGCACCCCGTGTCGCCGTCGGCGCGAGGGTGTGCTGCGCGCGCGCGGCGCTGAGCATGGCGGCGCCGGCGCCGCTGGCGGGCCGACGCTTGGGTCGCATGAGCCGGTGCCATTGTCGGACGGCGTGTTCACACATTTACGCCGGCCGGCCGGACGCCTCAGATGGCTGCTGAACTTTGCAAGCCACCTGCATGGCGCGGCTCGGCCCGTTCCCACATCAGCGAGCCGCGCTGATGGGACAGGGCGGCAGGGAGCGCGCCATGTCGGACAGTGCCCCTGGCAGGCGCACGGGCAGCACTGGCCGCGTTCCGGTGGCTGAGGGGAGGGAGGCTGAGAAGCGCTCGTTGGTCAGACTCGTGCCGCTGACCCAGCGTCGACGGTCCGACGCCGGCGCCGCCGGCCGGGCTGCACTGGCCACACGGTCGTGCGGGCCGGGTGATGACGCCGACCTCGGCCAGCGGTACTCGGAGAGTGGGGGGGGGGGGGGAGGGCAGGGGGGCGACGGGACAGTGCCTTCGTGCCCGGCGCGACGCGGTCCCCTACAGTTGTGCAGTAGTACACTGACCCACAGCAGAAGCGGACTCGGAATCGGGACCATCGTACCCGTACCCAGGGCCGGAACCGGAGCGGGAGCCGGAGCCGGAGCCGGAGCCGGAGCCGGAGCCGGAGCCGGAGCCGGAGCCGAGCCGGCCGAGGGAGAGGCGTCGGGATCCGCCGCGAGCAGAGTGGAACACAAGACCGGTTTGTGTACCGCGAGTGTACCGCCAATGGCCTTGCAAACTCGTATTTGCCTTGACAGCTTCGCGAGTGCTCGTCGGGTTTATACATGACATCCCTTTCTAATTCTGCATAGCAAAAAAAATCCTACAGGTGCTGTGTCTCCCCCTTTAAGCACTCCCTTATGAGATTTGGCACTCCTGAGAAAGCCGAAGGATAGCTAGCAGCCAGATGAAAAGGCTAATAACCTCTCACATGAGCGGCGTCAAGCGACATTGAATCGCAACCGTACAATGCTTGAGTGTCAGAAGATGTTACGATTTGGCATATATGTACGTCACTTTGCCGTTCAGTTACAACATAGCGGCACTAAGCAATCGAAGCTACACGGAAGTTAGTTGAAAATCCAAGACTTACAACCATAGTCCAAACGCCCTGAAAGGAAACAAAATGTGCATAAGAAGGGCTATCTACTGGAAAACAGTAACGGTCAAGGCTATTATATACAGCGGCCTCGGCAAGCCACGACAGTTTATAAGCCTTCTGCATCTCGTTGGCTAGAGCTATCAAGTATTCACATTTGAGCTGAGGGCATTGCCACCATGTCAACAGATACATTAGTTTCTCAAAAATGGTAGCAGCAGTCGTCGCCACAATACTTTCAGCAAACAATTCCCCCCAAAATTCGTCTGGCTGATGCATGTTGATCCAGAGACGGCACATGAGCCAGGGACCAACGTCTGCCGACTCAACATCTCCTCCCGACACGATCTCACAAACGACAGCCAACCACTGCCAGTCAACACCAGGCGCGGTGTGCGAGGGTTCGTTAGCTTAGAACAAAATGGTTCGGTAAAATGCGAGTTCCCCACGTACAGCCCCACGCCAACTGAACATTCGCCTATCATGGGAGTGGCCGGGCAGCATTTTGAGACCTGGCACGGATCCTCCAGACGGGGTGGAATCTTGGTGACCCGTCCGCCTGGGTTGATGCAACGATCCCGTGTGTTTTATCGCCTTACTGACAGTCCGACAAGGAGACTCATAATCCATCTCCAGGGCCAGGCACTCGTAACCCCGAGCTGCAGCACGGGGCGCGCTCATTGCTCGGTATTATCCGCGGCTTAAATGCCGGCGAGCTGTCCTTGTACCATGTGTGACAGCGTTTGAGGGCGCCTCTCCAGCATGGAATGTTTGAGACTCCGTTCACGATGTAGACTGTCTTTATGCTATGTTCCCAGAGAGGATTAGAGGCTTTGTGGCCGATACTAGAAAGAGCACCACGGAGAACAGCGCATCGAAGACAATTGGCAGGCACTCATCCACCACTCACAAACCAGACCACACCCCAATCCCGCACCCTGACACGAGCACCAGCACGCAGCGCACCCGTGGCCCTTACCTTCTTTCCTCATGCCGACTTTGAGGCATTTGCGTAGCCTGCAGAATTGACACTGGTTTCTATGATGGGTGTCTATGGGACAGTTCCGGTTCCCTCTACACGCATACGTCAGGTTCTTCCGCACGCTCCGCTTGAAGAAGCTTTTGCAGCCTGCAAACGCACGAAGCATGTCACCACAGAGCATCATCAAGTTAGCGGCAGCGATGCGTGGTAACACTGGATCAGTTATGTGCATAACAGCTAGGACCACAGGTTTAATTATGTTTAAAACTGCATTTGGCCGCTTGCGAAGACTCCCGTTCGAATTCAAGAGCACAGTGTCTGAGGCGCCTGCCTCATCACCGAGTGGAGTCCGCCCGTGCGCCGGTGACGTTCTACTCATGTCAAGGGTACACCCCCAGCCGCCAGTGTGCCGCCTCATCATCCCAGCAGGAGTGCTAAGGCATGGCATCACAGCCCCAGCAGGAGTATACCTAGTCACCAAAGCTCTGCGTCACATCAGCAGCAGAGCGCGGCGTAACCGCGTCACGTGACGATGATGACAGTCGGGCCCCCATCAGCGGACAGTGCGCACCACCACAGAGCGCGGCGTAACCGCGTCACGTGACGATGATGACAGTCGGGCCCCCATAAGCGGACAGTGCGCACCATCACAGAGCGCGGCGTAACCGCGTCACGTGACGATGACTGTCGGGCCCCCATCAGCGGACAGTGCGCACCATCAGAGCCGCGTAACCGTGTCACGTAACGATGATGACAGTCGGGCCCCCATCAGCGGACAGTGCGCACCATCATCGAGCACGGCGTAACCGTGTCACGTGACGATGATGACAGTCGGGCCCCCATCAGCGGACAGTGCGCACCATCACAGAGCGCGGCGTAACCGCGTCATGTGACGATGATGACAGTCGGGCTCCCATCAGCGGACAGTGCGCACCACCACAGGGCGCAGCGTAACCGCTTCACGTGACGATGATGACAGTCGGGCTCCCATCAGCCGACAGTGCGCCCCATCACAGAGCCGGCGGGTGCAGACGCGCCGCGCTGCAGCGGACAGCCGACGCCCGCGGCGCGCGGCTCGGAGCGCAATCAGAGGAGCAATGAGTCGGCGGTGACCCGACCGGCCAGGGGTGGCCGGCACGCACGATACAGCCGCGCACACCTCGGTCCAGGCCACCGCTGGCGCTCGGCAAAACATCCACCCGCTTGTCTGCAAGATTAAACGTCCGCATTAGGCTTGGCCGGCCAAGCGGTGAGCTTCAAACGACCAGCAAATTAAATGGTAATTAAGTCGATTTCTTTAATCGGGGAGTTTACGGTGGATGCACCGCACGGCCCTCGGCATACTGATGGCATGGCTGGGCATGGAGCGCCGATGACCCGAGTTTCGAAGGCGAGTCACATGACAAAAACACGGCAGTCGTGACACCAGCGGAAAAAAGCGCATCGAACCGGAGGTGGCGCTAAACCAACTGCGGCCAGTTTCGAAAGCAATCGGCGGCCTTGATGAATGGATGCCGGATGACCGGATGAGGGATATGCGGCGTCTCTTCAACGCTAAATCGCCCGCTGCAACGAAACCCTAAGGTGCAGCGATGGTCAAAGACTGCAAGGCAATGGATCGCTGTTTGTGAAGGCCGACTGGAACAGACTCTGAAATATGCGTGGTTTGTTGGCGCCGAAAATCCTGAACACCGTCGGATACGTAACAAAGAGCTTCAACACATCCTTAGAAGCATATCCAATTCATCCAGGCCTGGCTTTGCGACATGCACGCTCTAACAAAGCTTTAATAAGTTATCGGATAGCGCACCACCGTGGCATATTCCCCTGCACCGGACTTCCCGCAGCTGGCAGCCAGCCTGGCTCCCGCCAAAGACGGCAGCGTCTCTCCGACGGGGAGAGGTTCGTCCAGACTCGGCCCGTTTTGAGGCGACTCAGATCCAATGCTGCTGTCTGAACTGACGGCCACAGTAAACTAAAATCGGGGCTGAACGTTCGCCGGCCACTACATCACGGCCTTCCCAGCAAGGGAAGTCCAGCCCCGATTTAGCATGCACTGTTCCAACAGAATTCGTACGCGCAAAATAGCAACGTTGGACTTGAAGCTTTCATTTTTAAACACGTGCCAAGAATGGTACGCTCATCCCAGGACACACAACGTCAATGTACGAGTCACGGCAGTGTTAGTATGACAAACATCACAGCTCACCGAGAACACCAGGGATAAAGGAGTTACCACCAACCAAAGCGGTGCATTACCTTGCAATTCATGTTAAACACGCATTTATAATAAAAAGTGACCAGCAGTGTTTGCACGTAGTTATGAGAGTGCGCATACAAATCATAATCCCTAGTTCATCAGAGAAACTAGGCATCACCGTGCACTGGCCGTAACCCGAACCATAAATTTGCGTAAGTCGCCGACATTCGGAGAGCTAGAATACTTAATTGGAATAAAACACGGGCATAGGATATATGCAATGTGACAACCTTTATGGAAATCAAGTGCCTTCCTACGTGGTAATGACGACAGCCTCTTCAGAGTATACATCATTCTGCTCAAAGGCGTTCTTTCCGTTAGCTGCAAGCCTAACTGTGCCCAAAAAGCATGACGTTAAAAACAGCAAAACAAAGACATTTTCATACACAACCCACACATAGCTAAAAAGATTTGGAGGCGTCATTAAAGACGGAATTTCATTTTGGTGCCTGATATTTTGTGAATTGTGGGCTTTATCGGCACAAGTCGGTTCAGTTGGTCGTTGGACCTCACGTAGTATCTGTTGTCATGGAATCTGTTTTGCTGGCTTGGCAAAGCACATCATTTGTCATACACGGTCATTATTGTAATTTAATGGAAACGCATGGTGCATCACGATATTGCAAATTACATACGTCCACCTCTGCCGCGAACGATGCGCTCATGTGTACGACTCCTCTCAAGAAACATTTTCAATTCAGTGACAGTCGGCGACCAAAGCCAAAACAGAATATTTATCGATTTTAAGCTGTTGATTTTATGCACAAGCATGCATAAAAATAAGATCGCAGGTAGCCTTTAAAGCCTTTTATGGAGAACCAAATTTAGCAGGCAAATTACATCCTTCTTATCTGACAGCCCGCCTGGTGTCCCAGGTACGCACAGGGAAGGAATACACAAAACGCACCTTTACGTACAGGCAACGAAAGTGCTTCGAAATTGGGAGTTCCGGTGATAGCCATTGTTGGTTATTTTTTCCAGTGAAAACTCACATGGCCGATGTTTTTTTTCAGAGTAATGGGCTCTGGCACCTTCCCCCTAATTCCCGCCCACTGGTCTTAACGTGACCAAGATCTCAAGGATGCGAGGCCAAAATGTTTCTCAAATCGAGCCCACAATCATCCGTTGTTTTGCAGCAGTCTCTCCGCCATACGG